CTTGCAAAGAGCTAATATGAACCTAATGGGCTGAAAGAGCTCCTATTGTACTGTTAATATTCTAGTATTCTATAATTTGATTTGAGTAAGTCATCTGATTTCCAAACAGGAACATCACGAAGGTAATAAATCTTTCAGTTCTCACACATCTCAACACAAACTGTCCCACAGCACTCTACTAAGAAGATCAGCAAGTGTCTTGAGCAACAGTTATTCTTCAACCAACATCAGAAATGTAGATTATCTGGTCATTATCTCAATGCTCTTTATGGAATATTGGAACATGCAAATTGACTGTACAATTCCTACAATGACTATACTTCGAAATTACTTTATTGTGCACCCCATAGTTCATGATAACCAGATGTCATGAAAAGTGTGTAAAAATGCAAGCCTTTCTATGTATGAGCGGTAGGTGAGGAACAACACCTCCAATTGTTGTGGTTCAGGTACCACAAAATTACATCAAATGGGCATTGCCTGCAGTGGGAAGTGAGTTTTTGGGATGTCAATTACCACAGAAAACAAAACAGCATTAACTGAGATGAAATAGTTAAGCACCATGGAAGAATATGTTCAGGGAATTTTGCCTTTGCTCTGGAATTCAAGAGAGGAACCGCAAAGAAATGGTGCATACTTTATGCATTTCCGGTTTGAGACATTTTCCAGTGAGTGATCACAAGTTTAAAATCACAATGCCATCAGGAGTTCCTGTTTACTGTTCTCAGAAACTGTGTACCAGGTCCAGAACTTCTGGCTGAAGGGTTCACTTGGAGCATAACTGAGACTCAACAACAGGAGGAACTGAATCATCGGAATTAAATTTGGACAGCCAATCACTAAAGTGTAGCTTGTGCTTTTGTTTTTAAATCCTAAAGAAAGTAATAGTTTGCACTTGGGTAGCGCCTTTTTACAATTTCAGCATGTCCCAAATACAATGGTAGACCTTGAAATGTTGCCACGGTTGTAATGTAGGAAAACTACAACCACCTTCCTCGAATTCAAGTCAAGACCTGAATATGCCAGGGATAGATTCTGTGCACAGATTACAGTTCCCTGTGCATTCCACACACAGTTGGGCCTCTGCACTCCACACACAGTTTTTACAGCACAAGATGCCAAATAACATTGAATTATCGTCGACCCAATTCATCATTGTCAGACTAACAGGGTTATCGCATACAAAGGGCTTCTCCTTCCTCTTAAACTTCCTTCCTTCCTTTTGGGCTGCTGTCTGGAACTTTATTCATTTTCAGTAATTTAGTTCACAGAATTAACCATCACTTATTGTATGCCAAACTGATCTATTTTTGGTGGCAGCTGAAGCAATAAAATATTATAGTTACTCCCCTTGTTACCTGCTGGCACAATCATACAATGCCATCATTATTTTGGGCCACAGTTTTTCAATAATCACTCCTTAACTGTTCACTCTAATTGTACTTGTGTTGAGCTGTGCACTTTCAGACACAGGCACCATTCCTGTTTTGTGCTGTGGATTCAGGTACTTCACATCTCACTGTCTTGTTACGCTTGTTTCCTGAAATATAGTTTCCAAACAGATCAACTCTAGCAAAACTATCATCCAAGTTCAACAGGTAATAGGGAAATGGGATCTTGGCCTTTATTTCAGAGGGCATGGAGAATAAAAGTCGGGAGGTATTGCTAAAACTATGCCAGGCACTGGTCAGACCACAGCTGGAAAACTGAACAGTTTCAGTTACCTTATCTAAGGAAATATAGGCTGGCATTGGAAGCAATCTAGCAAACATTCATTAGGCTGACATCAGGTATGGAGGGTCAGTCTTATGATTTATTTGGTTTATTTATTGTCTCATGTAATTTGTTACAGTGAAAAGTGTTTTTTAGTGTCGCCATTCTCTGGCACCATCTTAAAACACAAATAAACCAAACGCAGAATATAATGGCTGTAAAATGAAGAAATAAAGGAAGTATCCAACTTTACAGTCCTTCTTGTTAAGTGGTCCATCATGGGCCATGGGTCTGGTGGCCAGGCACGGGGGCATAGATAGGGTAAATAGACAAAGTTTTTTCCCCAGGTTCAGGGAGTCCAAAACCCAAGGGCATAGGTTTAAGGTGAGAGGGGAGAGATTCAAAAGGGACTTGAGGGGCAACCTTTCCACGCAGAGGGTGGTGCGTGTATGGAATGAGCTGCCAAAGGAAGTGGTGGAGGCTGGTAAAAATTACAACATATAAAAGGCATCTGGATGGGTATATGAATTGGAAGGGTTTAGAGGGGATATGGGCCAAATGCTGGAAAATGGGCCTAGATTTATTCAGGATATCTGGTTGGCACAGACGTGTTGGACCGAAGGGTCTGTTTCCATGCTGTACAGATCTATGACTCTATGAGGTCACTCCAGAGATATTGCAAAGGACACTTAGGAGTTTGCATATTGTTAGGCTGATGGCTAGTACCCTCTGCAGTTGATCTCTTCCAGGTCCTAACCTGAACCAAGCCCATCCCATCTCTCAGAGACAAAAATAAGGTGCAAATGGAAGGATGTCTTGGGTATCAGTTTCCAAATTTGGGAACTTCCCCAATTCACATTTCCTGAAACTGGAGGGATAAACCAAGCCAACAACATTCCCATTAATAGTCAAGTACAGGAGGCCATGCCAGGAATAGCACCAGGCATACCTAAAAGTAAGATGTAAACTTGGTGAACCTCCTAAACAAGACTATTTGCATGTCAAACAGCATAAGCAGAAAATGACAGACAGAGCTAAGTGATTTCACAGTGAAAGGATCAGACCTAAGCTCTGCAGTCCTGCCACATCCAGTCGTGAATGGTGGTGGACAACTGAATAGTTCACTTTAGGAAGAGTTTCACAAATATCTTCATCCTCAGCTCATCAGTGAAAAAGATATGGCTGAAGTCTTCGCAATAATATTCAGCTAATAGTGCTGAGTGGATGATCTGTCATAGCATCCTCCAGAGGTCCCCAACATTAGAAATGCCTGTCTTCAGCCAATTTGGTTCACTCTTTGATACCAAGAAATGATTGAAGTCACTGGATACTGCAAAGGCTGTGACACTGACAACATTCCAGCAATAGCCAAGCTGTCTCAGTCGTCACAACACTGGCATCTATGTAAAATTGCCCAGTTATGTCCCGTACACACAAAGCAGAACAAATGCAACCAGCCGGTTATTGCCCCATCAGTCTACTCTCAATCATCAGTGAAATGGTGAAAGGCGTCACCAACAGCGCTATCAAGCTGTTCTAAGGAAGGGTCACTGGACCCGAAACGGTAACTGATTTTTCTTCACAGATGCTGCCAGACCTTTTGAGCTTTTACAGCAACATCTGTTTTTGTTGGCATCAAGCAGCGTTTGCTCAGCAATAACCTGCTCAACGACGGCCAGATTGGGTCTACCAGAGCCACTCATCTTCTAACCTCATTATAGTGTTGGTCTAAATGTGGACAAAAGAGTGGAATTCCAGAGATGAGGTGAGAGTGATAGCCCTTGACATCAATGCCCTTGATAGTATTTTACTGAGTGTGACATCAAGGGGCTCCAACAAAACTGGACTCAGTTGGAATCAGAGGTAAAAGTCTCTTCTGGTTGGAGTCATACTTGGCAGAAAGGAAAATGGTTGTGGTTGCTGCAGCTCAGTCATCTCAGCTCCAGGACATTTCTGCAGGAGTACGTAAGGGTAGTGTCCCAGGCCCAACCATCCACAGCCACTTCAACAATGACTGTCCCTCCGTCATAAGGTCAGAAGTGGCAATATTCGTTGATGGTTGTACAATGCTCAGCACCATTTGCAAATCCTCAGATACTGAGGCCATCTATGTCCAAATGCTGCAAGACCTGGACATTATCCATGTTTAGCTGACAAGTGGCAAGTAACAATTGTGTCACACAAGTGCCAGGCAATGACTATTTCCAACAAAAGAGAATGTAAACATTGCCTCTTGATACTCAATGATAGCATAGTTACTGAACTCCCTTACTATCAACATGCTGTGGGTTACCATTGACTAGAAACTGAACTGGACTAGTCACATCAATACTGTGGCTACAAGATCAGAGGCTAGGAAGACTGCAGTGAGTCACTCGTCTCTTGACTCCTGAAAGCCTGTCCACCATCCTGGTTTGGAAATATGTCGCTGTTCCTTCAGAGTCAAAATCGTGGACATTCCTCCCTAATAGCGTTGTGGGTGCATCTACACCAAATGGGCTGAGTTGATTCAAGTCAGTCCACCATCATTTTCTCAAATGCAACTGGTGTTAGACAGTAAATGGTGGCCAAGCCAGTGATGCCAAAATCCCGTGATTGAACAAATTGTTAAAAAAATTATTCTAGTCACAGATTTGTCACGTTGCATCATGACCAATTTACAGAAATAACCATTAATACCAGAGAGGTTAACAGTTAGGCCTGTCTTAGCAGAATATAATTCTAGTCAAACCTAACCACATGCTTCTGCCTGGAGGAAAATTATGAAACATTGAATGTTAAACTAGCCAATGACTTATTTTCCACTCTGCCTGAAATGCAGCTTACTATGTCTCACGTGGGCCCACAGAGAAAATTTGTTTGCAGTTTCTGCTTTGCCATGACGTCATTAGTGCTGCTTCCTTCCTGCTTCTTGCAAGGTTGAAACAGAGATAAGGAAACAACAGCTAAAGCTTGCTTTGCAAAAACAAAAGTCACCAAGACTGTTCTGAGAAGGTCAGTAAAGAAAGGACTTGGTTTATTAAGTCACCCTGATAGTATTTGATGAATATGGCAACTCTCACTGCTTAGTGTAAAAAAAATGCTGTTGTTATTGTCTTTACTTTGGTTTGTTAGTTCAACTTGGAACAAGCAGTAGTCTTCAGGCTCTAGTCATACTTCATGTCACTGCTGATTTACAAGAAACAAAGGAAATTACCAGACGCGATGTGATTCACTTGACTCTCTTTAGCCTTTTCTCCATGTAAAATTTGTTTTAAGTGACAATCCTGTTTTCTTTTTATTTTCAGGGCAACTTAGTCTTCAGAAGAAACATTAAATGCGGAAATTTGATCCAGGATAAAGATTCGCTGCTCCCTCCTCTGAAGTTTGATGGTCCTTTTGCCCTTGTGGGAATCTCCAATTTCTTTGGATCTTGTATCAAACCCAAAGGCTTTCATTTGTCCACCACCTCTTCCAAGACAGCAATGAACTGAAATATTTTCAATGTGATGGAAACTGACACCTTTTAAGGAGAAAGACCTTTCTTGCACTTAGTCCAGTATCAAGTGGACCACCTCACCTTCTAAAGCACAAGGAATGCACTATCATGGCGACTGCAGTTGGGCAAAATGAAGTTGTATTTGAATTTACAAATAATGGCGTGGAAGACACACAAGAGGTAAGGTGATCATTTCACACAGATAGTAAAGATTTCCTAAAGAACTCTTTGAACAGTATCCAAATAAATGATTATTCATAAAGGAAAGTAAGTGCAGCTACGTAAATTGTTTTTTTTTGCTCATTGTTAGAGATTTTACAAGGAAGATGAAGCAGCGTTTGAGCTCCTGAATCTAGGCAGAAGGCTGACATGTGTCATGTTTTAGAATGAAACAAACCAACTTCATTTTAACTAGGCAGTTTGGGTCAACACAATGTTGAGTCTTTAAATATAAATAATTTTAAATGGTTCCCAACCCTTGCATTGAATCTAATTTTATTTCAACAAATCGACTGAAATCTGAATTGCATGAAAATAGCATTGGCCGCTTGTGGATCCCTGAGCTGTTTTGGGGCAGTCTCCTGCTCTGTCAAATTTTCTGTGGATGTATGCGTGTGCTTCTCAACCAGGACAGTCTTATGTGCTGCATTTGCTGGTTACATGGCATCATAGAGAACAACCAGTGCTGTGTCCATTCAGCATAGAAAATACCCTGGTCCTAAATAGACTAACATGCGCTATGTATTATTTATACACTAAATTGTAAGGGAAAGATGAGGCCACAACTGGAGTATTGAGTACAGTTCGGATCACTGCATTACAGGAAAGATTTAATTGTTCTGGAAGAGTGCACAGAAGATTTACCAGAATGTTACCAGGGCTGGAGAATTGCAGCTACAAGGGGAGATTGGAGAGGTTGGGGTTGTTTCATTTCTTTGGTTTTATGGTTCTTCTATGAGCTACTGCACTTTGTTTCTTTTTAATCGCAGTGCAGAGGTGTGTTTTGGTGCACAAATCTTATTCCTATTATTTTGTGGTAATTTCTATCATATTTCGTGGCCCTGGAGATTATACCTACTGGGTGAGTGGTTATGGAGGATATATGGGGCTCACAGAAATTGACTTATGAAGATGTGAAGTAGCCCCCGGGGGAATGTGAAATAGTGGTGGGGAGAGTGGTGAAGTGAGGGAGTTGAGTGAAGTTCATGGGACCTTTAGACAATGTTGGGAGCTGGGCTGCTGTGTCAGAGCAGCAAGGTTCCCTTAACTGACCTGCCTCCCCTCACACTCCATTGCAGTTTGCACATTGCACTGTGAACATGAGCCCATATGAACATGAGCCCACGTGAAAATACAGAAAACACTTGTAAAGTCACATGCAGGTCAGAGCTGTGAAAGTGTGCACAGCATTTAATTTGGCTCCACCAGACTGAGTATTATGCTCATAAGACAAGGCTGTCAATCTAATAGGCTTTGATTCAGAACGTTTCTGATATAATTCTGTTATTATGCGCCATGTGTATCCTGTATTTGGTTGACCATTTGCTGGTTCAATCAAAATATATTACTTGTAATTCATTGATTTATAAGGCTGGAGAGATAATATCAAATATGCAACTTGCAAGTGGACTATAAATGCATATGGAATATGTTTACAGTTTAGTAATTTTTGTAAAAATGTAATTATGAGTGAGACGATGATCCAAGTAGGGCACATCTGGCAAAGGATGGTGGATTGTCTTTGGTTTTGGTATCAATTTATATGATTTGGCAGGGAAAATATTTTGTTGCTAAACAGTGTTGCATAGTTGACATTTACATATGAAATAACTTCATGATCTAATCTATGTGAACAGCTCAGGTTTTGGAAAAATAGTTAAAACATAATTTCTTGAGATCACGCAGCTTTGCAGCACTTCCATTTAACGAGCTATGATTAGTCACACCACCAGCAAAATGCATCTTTCTGACATATCTGGAATTCTGACCCTTGGCTGACCTAGTTTCAAGTTTTGGTTTGATAACACAGTTCGTGTAATGTTTAATGGGCCTGAATGTATGCGTTATATGTCATTGCAAACATCTTAGATTTCTGAGTTTGTGTTTGGAAGTGCTTTCTCTTTTTAGAGATCGATTGGAATAATAATATGCTAAAATTGACTAAAGGACCAGTTTTAAAATTGTTTCATGTTAAAGTTAACCTACTATTGATATTGCCTTGAATTATTGTAAAATCATAGAATCATAGAATCCCTACAGTGTGGAAACAGGCCCTTTGGCCCAACAAGTCCACGCTGAACCTCAGAGCATCCCACCTAGACCCATACCCCATAACCCACCTAATCTACACCTCCCTGAACACTGCGGGCAATTTAGCATGGCCAATCCACCTAACCTGAATCTTACATCACAGGAAGAGGCCATACATCCCATCAGTCAGTATCAGCTTTCTTCATAATTTTCTACATTTCTCTTTATTTCATGTGTAAATCCAAATTTCATTCTGAAAGATACTATTGAATCTGCTTCCATTAATCCTATCGATCAAAGCAACTCATTGCATAAACTAATTTCTGCTCATTTTCCTTTGGATCTTTAGTCAATTATCATAAGTGTGTGTCATCTGGTTACAGGGTGCATGTTGGAATTCAGATTTAAATGGTTGACGTAGCTTAGAAAACTTCAGTATGATTTCCTCTGGCTAGCACCTAGCTGCTTTCAGTGGATAACAAGGTGTAGAGTTGGATGAACACAGCAGGCCAGGGAGCATCAGAGGAGCAGGAAAGCTGACGTTTCGGGTCTGGACCCTTCTTCAGAAATCAGTGGACACCGATTGAGTCCAGAACTACTTAAAAGTCAGCTGTGTTAGATTGCCTATATTTGGAAGGTGTTTAGTTAAGCTTTTTGTGTTATGTTTCTTCTACAGCACCTACTTTCTAGACTGTGGCCCAGACTCTGGAATTTAATAAACGTCTCCACCTCTTACTACTTTTTTTTTGAGGTGCTCCTTAAAACTTCCCTCTTTGAATAAGTTTTTGCTCACTATCATAATGATTCCTCCTCTGGCTTAGAGTCAATTCCTTTAAAGACTGAACTTCCAAAAATTGTCTTGTGATGCTGAACCACTTTAAAGATGCAATATCAATGTAGGTTCCATTGTTATCATGGTCAAATCCTGTGATCATTTTGCACGTTAATGCAGTACTGCCGTAGTACTGAACAAGGAGCGTCAGTTTAGATTATGTACTCAAACCTCTGAATTGGTGTATTGAAATATATTTTTAAACTGACGAGATTGCTATAGCTTCTGAGTGGCTAAAGCTATGATATATATTTGTTCATGTTGAGATGGTGGCTGAGACTCTGATCCTGCCTTAATCATATAAATATAATCATTTGTGTTGTTATTACCTCTAGATTAAATTATCCCAAGGTTGTCCTAGCTGGATCTGTGTTAAATTCTGCCTCATTGTCAGCATACTAGTATATCTTTAAGAGACATGCTCTCATAACATGTGACCTGAGGGGATGAATGGGTCATATTCCATCTTGCCTCTGGATCCACTTCTCCCACATCACTAACCAATCCCCACCACTGCCTACCTGCACCCACCTACCTTCCCCAGCGCCTCTCATCCCCGCCTCCTTGACCTATCCGTCTTTCCTCCTACCTATCTCTGTCTCATCCCCATCTCCTTGACCTGTCCATCTTCTCTTCCACCTAACTGCTCCTCCCACCTCACTGACCAATCCCCACCACTGCTTACCTGCACTCACCTATCACCATCCCACCTACCTTCCCCAGCTCCACCCCTCCTCTCTATTTATTTCAGAGCCGCCTTCCCCCTCCCCCATTTCTGAAGAAGGGTCCCGTCCAAAACGTCAGCTTTTCTGCTCCTCTGATGCTGCCTGGCCTGCTGTGCTCCTGCAGTCCACACTGTGTTGCCTCTGGATCAGTTTGATTTTGATTTGATTTATTGTTGTCACATGTACCTGTTTTACAAGCAATACAGGGAGATCATAACAAACAAGGGCATTCAGATCAGAGGGTGCTTAGACAGGGTGAGGCAGACAGGTTACACTGCACAGGAGGTGTGCAAAGCAAGATCAACATTAACAAGATCAACATTATTTGAAGTTAGAGAGTCCATTCAGCAGTCCAGTAACAGCAGGGAAGAAGCTGTTCTTGAACCAATTGGTGTGTGTGTTCAAGCTTCTGTATCTTCTGCCTGACAGAAGAGTTTGTAAGAGAGTATTACTGGGGTGGGAGGGGTCGTTGATGGTGGCAGCCTTTCCGCAGCAGCGAGCCGTGTAAATGGAGTCCATGGATGGGAGGTTGGCTTTAATGATGGTCTGGGCTGTGCACACCACCTTCTGTAGTGTATGGGCCTGGGCAGAGCAATTGCCAGACCAGGCCATTAAGCACCTGGATAGTATGCCTTCTATGGTGCGTCTGTAAAAGTTGGTGAGGGTCCTCATGGACATGCTGAACTTCCTAAGCTGTCTCAGGAAGAAGAGACATTGTCATGCCTTCTTGACCATTGCAACCACGTGGGAAGTCCAGGACAGATTGTCGGTTGTTGTCACTCCTAGGAACTTAATGCTGTCAACCCTCTCAACCTCAGCTCCGTTGATGTAGATGGGGGTGTGTCCTGCTCCTCTCTTCCTGAAGTCAATAATCAGTTCTTTTGTTTTGCCGACGTTGAGAGAGAGGATTGTTATCATTGCACCATGACACCAAGCCCTTATCTCTTTCCTGCATTCTGACTCATCATTGTTTGATATCTGCCCTATATCAGTGGTATCACCAGCAAATTAGGAGATGGCATTCATCCAGAGATGCATGACATGCTACTGGAAGCATTCTGCACAATTTTAATCTGATGTCTTAATGTTAGGTCAGACACCTATGTACCTGTGAATGTAATGTTTGTGTAGAATAGCTCACTGAAACAAACATCTACTGGATTTTTCAATACAATGATATGCACGTCCAGTTTCATATGTTACTTAAGGCACAGTAAACTTTGGTAAATCAGGTGAACCCGACCACACCACCCCCCCCAAAGATAAACTTACATGATGATTAGCAGCAGCAGCCTTTTTTTTGGTTTGGAAGAAAACCTCTCAAATCTCGGTGGTTGATAGTTGGAAAACTAATTGAAGGCCAAACAAACAAC